CATGTCTGCAGAACCCCCTGAACCCTAAACCCTAAATCCTACACCCTAAACCCTAAACCCTGAACCCTAAACCCTGAACCCTAAACCCTCAACCCTGAACCCTAAACCCTGAACCCTAAAACCCTGAACCCGAAACCCTGAAACCTCCTGAACCCGAAACCCTAAACCCTCAAACTCTGAACCCTAGAACCCGAAACCCTAAAACCTCCTGAACCCTAAAACCCTAAACCCTTAGCCCTGAGCCCTGAACCCTAAAACCTAAACTGGCTCTTTGAGAGGCCTCCTTCGTTTAAGGCGACTCCAGGGTTCCGCATCGCGGATTCGGGAGTTCGGGCTCCGGGTTTGGGGGGGTTTTGGGGTTGAGGGCTTATTGGGCTTATAGGGTTTAGGGTTTAGGGGTTTTGGGGTTGAGGGCTTATTGGGTTTATAGGGTTTAGGGTTTGGGGTTCAGGGCTTATTGGGTTTATAGGGTTTAGGGTTTAGGGGTTTAGGGGTTCAGGGCATATTGGGTTTATAGGGTTTAGGGTTTAGGGGTGTAGGGGGGTTTAGGGTTCAGGGCATATTGGGCTTATAGGGTTTATAGGGTTTAGGGTTTAGGGGCTTAGGGGTTTTAGGATTCAGGGCTTATAAGGTTTATAGGGTTTAGGGTTTAGGGGTTTAGGGGCTTAGGGGTTTTAGGGTTCAGGGCTTATTTGTTGGGTTTACTGGGTGTAGGGTTTAGGGGTTTTAGGGTTCAAGGCTTATTGGGTTTATAGGGTTTAGGTTTTAGGGGTTCAGGGGTTTTAGGGCTCAGCGCTTATAGGGTTTATACAGTTTACATAGATGGACTGTGGGTTGGCGAACGAGTTAGGGAAGTAAAGATGACTAGAAATACGAGTTACAAAAGTTAGCTCACCTGTTAATCATTAATAAACCCTAAACCCTGTGGTTTTGGCTTAGAATTAAGCCAAAACCACAGGGTTTAGGGTGTAGTGCTTTAGGGGTTCAGGGTTTGGGGTTTCGGATGGGATGGTGTAGAACTGTTGGGTCGTGGAATCAGACCTCCGACCTTCAATAGGGTTGGGGGTTTGAGGGTTGAGGGTTTAGGGTTTAGGGTTGAGGGTTGAGGGTTTAGGGTTTAGGGTTGAGGGTTGAGGGTTGAGGGTTTGGTGTTGCCAGGATCCTTGTAATACGGCTGATGACAAAAATCCTGCATTATCCATAATACGGTAATATAATATACCAGAATTCCCATAGTTTAGGGTCCTTAAGGTATTGCAGCATTTATGTCATCAGCCGTATGAGAGCCAACAAAAATGCTGCAATGCTATTACCCTTAGTTTAATTCGTGCAGGCCCCCCTCTTAACTTTTCCAGTTCCTCGCTCTATTGTTTAAGATTTACGTAGGGTTCGAGAGTGCAAAGTGTTGAGGCCTACGGCTTGGCATTGCGGGTTTGCGTTCAAAGTTTGTCATGACGGCCAGGCATCGCACGCAGATCCAGGACGTGTCCTCGCACGACTTGTGCCTATATGAAAGACGTTGTAGTGTTTAGTGTTCATCAAGGTTTGTAAGCTTAGGTTTCTGTAAGGACCCTCTGGAAAGCTCGGCTTGTTTGTTTTCATCCTCCGTTTCCTATTTGTGAGCTGTCGATTCTCATCGCGACGTCGTAAAAGCTTTCGTAGGTCTTGCGGGTTGGGGGAGCGACCCTAAACCCTAAACCCTAAACCCAAAACCCTAAACCCTAAACCCTAAACCCTAAACCCTATAAACCCTAAACCGTTTCAATGTGAGTTTGAGGATGCGGGTCGTCAGGCTGTCAGGGATTTCAACTCTGGGTTCCTCTTGGTGCTTACCTAAAGTCTCCATTGGGGTTCCCTTTTTTGGTTTAACCAAGCTTATCTGAAAGATCCTAAAAGGTAACCCCCAAAAAGAAGCTACAATGAAGACTATAGGTAAACCCTGACCCCTAAACCCTAACTCCTAAGCCCTAAACCCAAAGCCCTAAACCCTAAACCCCAAAACCCCTAAACCCCTAAACCCTAAACTATAAAGAACCCCAAAACCTTATTCCGATTATTAAGGCCCCTACAGTATTGTCAAATTGTGGCTTCCCTATAGAACCCACGCTTAAGCCCGAAGCCGTGAGGCGGTGCGGGAATCGAGGGTTTACGGTTTTGGGTGTAGGGTTTAGGGTT